AAGAGCAGATTTCAGGCAATCCACAATCTTGGCGTGGCATTCAAGAGATTATCAGAAGAGAAGCAGACTGCGCATGCCTGTACATTTCGGTTGGTAAAAATGATGTACGGTTTTGGATTCTCAAAGCAACGGGCGCTATTCATTTTACAAAAAAGACAGTGAGCCTTGAAGCAAACGCTAAGAGCGGATTAGTCCCTGATTTAGATGAGTTTTTCAAAGAGAGCTTCCGCAACCACGCAGTCCTGCTTGACCATGATGCCGAGGATTTAAGAACAAATCTTCACTTGTGTTACAAGATAATTATCGCTCCTGTGGCCAGTTTACTGAAGCGGCCCGAAATCATTATTGTCCCTGACTCGTGCATGTACCAAGTGCCATTTGCAGCCTTAGCTGACGAAGGAGGCAAGTATTTATCAGAGACATGCAGGATTCGGATGGTTCCCTCTCTGTCGACTCTCAAGTGTGTTCAAAACAGTCCTCCAGACTACCACAGTCAGACAGGGGTGCTGATAGTGGGTGACCCTGAGGTTGGAGCTGTAATTTACAAGGGACGGCGCAGAAACATAACACCATCGCTGTGTGCAAGGAAGGAAGCAGAAATGATTGGAAGACTTCTTGGCGTAACGCCCTTGATTGGAAATTCCGCGACAAAGCATGCTGTACTCCAAGCGATAAATTCAGTGAGCCTGATACATATTGCTGCACATGGTGATGCCAAAAGAGGAGAGATTGCTCTTTCTCCGGAGCACCCTATCCTTTTCCCTCCTTTTCCTCGAGAAGAAGATTACCTTTTGACGATGGCGGATATCTCAAAAACTCGGCTACGAGCTAAACTAGTGGTACTTAGTTGTAGCCACAGTGCTCGTGGACAGATTAGAACCGAGGGAGTGATTGGAATCGCCCGAGCGTTCTTGGGATCCGGTGCTCGCTCAGTGTTAGCGGCACGATGGGCCCTGGATCACATAGCCACAGAGCAGTTCATGGCTTGTTTCTACAAACATTTGTTCCGCGGCGAAAGTGCCAGTGAATCCCTCCACATGGCCAGGAACTGGATGCGTCATAATGGCTTTGACAAAGTTTCTCAATGGGCACCCTTTATGCTCATGGGCGACAACGTGACATTTGATTTTGAAAATTGGCCAGTGCCTACCGCACCTCAAGAGCCTGAAGTGGAGTGAACTGACTTACCAAAGCTCGTAACCATTTAATTGCAAGCCATCTGCGAAGGACAGCTCGGATTGATACACATAGAAAAGCATTTCTTTCAACAGCTTATTGGAATTATAAGTTTAATAATCTGAAACAAGACAGGGTACAGTGTACTCTTTATAAGAGTTTAGAAGTTAAAAACTTTAAGAGTCATTTTTTTTTATCATTAGTTCAGCAAACAAACCAGGCAAATTGTGACTCACGCAAGTATGTCGTCAAGTAAAGGAAATTTAAATAATACATCTTTCAAAGGCGCTTTTGTCATACATGAGTATTACGAGAAAGAATCAAACTGGCTGTGAGCCACTGAACTCGGATAAGGATTAATGAAAGGCTGGGAATAGACTCATTTGTATTAATTCATAGCTTAGGGGGCCACTTCCAGGAAAATTTTTTTACAATGCTTTTTGCTATATACTTTTCCTTTTTAAGGCACACGAACACTTTTATAAAAGGTCTATTAAAGTTATGTTTTGACATCTTATTCAATGAAGAAAAGTGGAAGGAAAAACTTTGACGACTTTCCCTCACAATCGAATCGAGGAGGAGGAACTTTGGTGGCTGAACACAGTTTTTGCGCGCGCTTTTGCTGATGCAATTCAGCGCACGCGCAGGGATTGCGCGCAAAAAACAAACATGCCGTCAACAGAGCGGTCATTTTATTTACTCAACACGTACCCGCACTATCTGTGCTATTTTTCTCTATAGCTGGCGCAGTGTATTTAGGGCTTTAATCTTTTATTACAAAGATATTTTAGAAAACTTAACGGTGCAAAGAACCCAGCAATTCTCAGCTTTTTCGTCGTTACCGAAAGAACCCAGTTAAATGCAGCGCATTCGTAGTAAGTAAAAAAAATGCGACTGAATGGAAAATTGCTTTCTCGGAAATATGCCTATTTTTTCTTGACAACCACTCATTATAATTTCACGAAATTTGGCACGAAAATACTTTAGGAAATAAGTAACTGGAGCATTGAAAAATAAATTATTTTAAACAAAGAAAATTTTAGAAAATCTAGTGAACCTTCAACAGGGGATAATTAACGATCTTTCTGTTAAATTGTCAGCAAAATGGTGTTAACTTGTGAGTATCATGACAAGTTCGTTGCTTGCAAATTATAAAGAAAATCTAATGACAAGATTTTCTACAAAGAAGCAAAACCGATTTTAATTGCCTGTTTATACCTATTCATGTCGCCATGGCAACGGCACATACGTCAGCTTAACTATTAAAAAAAAACAAAGTTTGTGTTGTGAACTTGCTTGCTGCCAGTTTTGGCGAGCGAGAGATTAAGGGTTTTAGAGAAAATGGTGAAAGAAACAAAGGTATCAAAAACTGTGTTCAGCCATCTTAAATGCAACTCGTATGCGTCCTAATACTGGTGTTAAGGACGAGGTACAGTTCCGAGAGGGTCTCAATGGGATCAACCTTCTTATCAAGAAGTGAGATGGAGTCAAGGTATCCTTTGAACAAAAAATATGTATCATTTCGGTAGTTTTCGTTATTGTATCATACGTCTGCCGGTCAACGCCAAGTCATTAGAGAGATTAAGCACCACGTAATTTTTTTCCCCGCGAACGGCAGAGGGTCACGTGACCTGACATTTCCCGCGTTTGCCGTTTGCCAGCCGCCGTTTCTACTCGAGGAAATTTTTCCCGTTTGTAGGGAACGCGGAAACGTGAGTATTTGCAGCCCATTTTTACCGACTACTTCTACATTTTGATCGCTTGCTTTTATAGCTAAGCTTCGTTTATCATCTTACTTCTATATGAACTGCTTGTAAAGCTAATAGAGTTCAAATTCAAGCGGAAAATACATTACTTCTTTGTATCCATTATTTCTAGTCGCAATGAATGGCGACCGCGAACATTTGTTCTGCCGTGTAGTCGGGAAGCTTAAACAGACGAACATCGCGGACAGAACGTCAAACGACAAAGGGCTAACCGACGTTCAGCGTGCGCCGTTTTCGCGGTGCTAAATCTAACTATTCTGGGAGACACCAGCCGGCTTCTTTTGAAAGTTTCCGGCAATGTGTAACTGCGCTAGGAAGATATACAGACAAGGAGATTTAAGGATACCCTGCTCAGGATTGATATTTTATTTTCTTGGCTCGCAGACAGTTCATGAAGTACTTGAAAGGTACGCAGTAAATTTTTGTTAACAATTACCGCTTCAATTGTGCCATGACTGAGAGTGTTATTCGGAGAACAAACGAATTTAAGAACAAGCATCTGTAGGAGTCGAACAACACAGAAAAAATATAGCAAAATTTTCATAGTATTGAAAATATATAGGGGTTGTTTAATGACGCTGGAGGGTAGTAGTGCAAAGGATTTTTGATCAAAAACAACACAAAACCGCCCCCTGGTTAGCTTATGTTGCAGAGCGCATGACTGCCGTGCGGTTGGGCGAGGGTTCAAGACCTAGAACGGACCAACACCCAGGGTCTTAAAAGAAATGAAGAGAATGTACTGCCTTCGCTGTGACATCTGCAATTCTGCAATTAGTTAGATATTCTAGCTTTCTCCGATAAGGACCAAAACCTCAGGCCCCGTCTCCTGTAATTACTCTGCTGAGATTTCCGAGCGAGAGGAGCGATTTTCAACCCTTGCATGTACTTTTTGGTCAAGTTTTCCAAACGTTGTGGAACTCAAAGGATAAAGAAATCGTGGAATTTGGTCGAAAGGGTTCTGTTCATGCACCATTGAGTTTGAAAAATTCTCATCTTTATCACGCCTGATTGGATCAAAAGTTTCACCACTCCTCCATTTGTCATTTTATACTTTTCAGTTTAACAGTCTTTAAAGTGTTTTAAAGTGAAACCGAGGACGAACCTTTCATAATGATCTTTAAAAACATAATACTGCTATGAAAGCGTTTCTCCTGGTTACTATAAGCTTTTAATTGGTGTTTGTTGTGGCTTTGCACTTAAGAATCTTTCTATTCCTTTTATCTCTCCTCCTTACTACAATAAAACGACTGGAATACGCCCCTCTCGGGATTTACAATAAGACAAGAAAACATAATTAGTTTCCACTAAAATTCTTTTATTGCTAATTAATCGGTTCATTTTGTGAATATAACCTTTTACCCTTAAAATATAATCTCATTTTCGCCGCGCTTTTACAGTAAAATATTGTTCATAGCTTGTCAAAACAATATGGTCACATCTCGGTCAAAGCTAAAGGAAAACTGGGCGGAAAGGCCTTACAGATTCTTGTTCTCAATAGCCCATTTCCGAATTAACTCTTTGGCCTCATTTTCAAAGCGAGTCCTGGTGCCAATCCTTTCATACGATTTTAAGTTTTCATTTATGTGCAAGTTAAACCCATTTTCATACGAATGGTTGGGTACCAGGTCTCGTTTTAAAAATGAAGCAAAAGGTAATTCGGAAATGGCCTATTTCATTTAACTCCGGCAAATAAAGACATAATCCCACCCTTTCTCTGCTTCTGTGGAGATGGGATGGGTACTCGACCGTGGCCATGCTGGACAACAGACATCACAATAAATAAATTGGAAGTCACAATTTAAAACTAAAACATGCTGCACTGGAAAGGTAGATCACTACTGAGGTGTTACGTGAGCGTTCGCCTTCCCGGAAAAAAAAGACTTAACCAAGTCCTGGATTATTTCGCGTAGTTTTAAGTATCTTGCGAAGCCGAGAGATTCACATGGTCAACATTTGAATTCACCTGTCTTTCCCTCTTCTTTTCTCTAAAGCTTGTCGAGTTCGCTTTTTAACGTATCCACGGCCTTGCGCATGCGTCTGTCTTCCTCAGCATCAGTACACTGTGTGAGCCATTCAGCACACTGCTTTAAGACAGCCTCTTTTTGAAGACGAAAGTGAGTGCGAATGGCTTCTTCAAAGCCTGGGGAGAGAGACAAGACAGTTTTGTTACCGATTAAACCGATGACCCTATAGAGCGACTAGCATCCAATTTCTCCTGACAATACAACCCCTAAATCAAACATCAAGGTCATGAGAATAAAGGAAATGATCTTCAACTAAAGAAAATCTTGATTGTTAAACAAATTCTCCTTGTCAGCACCTTAGAAAATACGTAGAGAATATTATGGAGAATATGCATACTGATAATATGGTGTAGAGGGTTATGCACAAAATAGCAAACGTTACACGCGTCATTGCCAAATTATTAGTAAAACTGCACTTAATCGTAAGAAATGCACTTCAAGCATTTATCTTTGCAATTATTAAATATTCCTTCCACGTATGACCCATGAGAACCATGTGAAGTCTTCAATTCGCTAGAATAATACACGGTAGCCGTGTTTCCTAGAGAGCGTGTAAGTTATAATAAGCACACTTACCAGGTGCTGGTTCACGTAGCTGCCCGACCATGGCGTGACGTATCGTGTGAAGTTTGATTCTTGCATTGTACTCTTTACACAGAGCCTGAGGAGAGAACCAAGTAAAATCAAAGTCAACCAAGGTTACAGTTATCACTTATAAAGTAAGTGACCCACTAGGGCCACAGTATTGCTACACCTCTTGGATGGGATACCTGTGCATAGCAGGTGGCACGAAAACACATTATTAGCTTTACCCTAACATCTCATTAAAGCCGTGGTGGTGAGACACAACGTAAGAGTAAAAAACCTTCCCCAACACAGTGAACCAGTTTCGGCTCGCATTCAAACCGCTTATTCTAGGGTCCAGGGCGTGAAATATTTGTCTATTGAGTCTATCACACATTACAGTTAACACCAGATGATAAATGGAATCGAAACGACTCGATAATAATACAGTGAATGGTTTGAACCCGTGGGTAACATGCGATAGTGTTTGTTTTAAGTAGTGGTGACTGACGAATCGAAAATCTGAGCGGAAATAATCTGCTTGCAGCTTCTCGTTCAGATAACATCGCAATCTCCTAGTAATACTGCGCAGATGCGCAATTCCCTAATGTAAGAACAAGATATGCAAGACACACATCCCTTATCGAAATGAGCTTGTAAATTATAGCCACATATATTCTTAGATTGGAATGCGAACATCAGCTTCGTCATCCTCATCATCAGCATAGACCAGTGTGAGTACATGAACGGCAACAGCAAACAATGAATCAGAGAATAAAAGACTGGAGCAAACTTTATTCTGCAAACTTGAAAAGTGTGGTTTTTATAAATGACTTTGCTTTTCAGCGTCAACAAAAAAACAAGTCCGTTGTTCCAGAGAACTGTTAAGATTCTCACTTACGTCTCCTTCGTCGGTTCCTTTGATGCCTTCGTAACCAGGCTCATTAAAACACGGATCAGGAGTAAACATCATGCCTTGAATTGACAACAAAACCTAGCAAAGTATTAAAAAAAAAAAAAAAATGATTTTAAGCCAGGGCCCCGGTTGCGAAGATGGAGCGAAACCAGTGGTATTAGCTAATAAAAGATGAACAAGTGATGGTTACCTCTTTACCCAGCGTCAATTATCATTTTATCGAAGTCCGCATTTACTATTGATCGGAGTCCGAAATAGAATATTGAAAAGGCGGAGCAAATTTTGTACCTTTCATACCTGATATCGAAAAATTGGTTGTGAGTAATCTTTCACTGAGGCGTTTACCAGAAGACCACAATTTCAATTCCCACCTTAACACCTGTTCCCTTCCCCTCTTCTCCACTTCCCCCATACCGTGAAACGCTAGGAAATATTAAAGCGTAAAGCAAATATTTGAAGTCAACCTTCCTCCACAATCCCTTTCCGACGTCAATTTTTCTTTCAGTATTAAGTAAACCCCAGGATAACAGTTAAAACAAGAATGTCCCTGTACATCCCCGCTGTGCTTTCAAGAGATCAAGGACACGACAAAGGAGCTTTGTGCGTAAAATCAACAACAACAACAACAACAACAATAACAATAAATTCAAACTCAACGAAAATCAAACCTGGTAAAGCGAAGACTTCTTTGGATCCCACTTCTCACTTGCATCTCCACCATGCCAAGTTCCCAACAAACTTAAACAAACCTAAAGATGTAAACAACAACGAAGAATAAAACAAAAAAAACATAAAGAAATGCGAAAATTGCACGAAATGGAACAATCTTGGCAAAGTATAGTTCGCAATTACCTTTCCATCTGCGTAGAGATTCGGGTTGAACCTGCAATGAAAACAAGACTTCAGCTCACTAACATAAAAGGAAATAGTTTCTAGAAAGAAGGAAAAATCGTAACTTAGATCTTGAGAGTTAAAAACTACAGTGTGAGTGAAAAAATCTTAATCTCTCACCTGACTGTACCGTTACCAGTTGTAATGATTTTCACCAGAGGGGGATCGACAGGATATGATGACGGAAAGTAGATATCGAAAACAAAGCACCCTCGACTGTAAGGTGTATCTGCCGTGCCGGTGATGAGAGCGCGGACAAAATCCATACGGTTTTCATCCTTCGGGAAATATAAAGGAAAAGGCCTGGATACTAAACCAACTACAATTCTAAAATCACTAATTTCCATGATAGGTTTCTAGACACTTACTCTATTAAAAATCAAATTAAATTGGACCATAGGAGTGGCACATCATAGAGGAGGCTTTTCGTCTTACGTTTTCACGTTGAATTTGAAATTCGAGCCTTGTTTTTTGCAGATAACCCAGAAAACTATTCTAGGACAAGAACGAGAATGAATAACAATCTCAACCCACATGCTTCAGCAATTGGAGGCGAGCGGAGGCTTTACATTGAAAAAAAAAAAAGTTTTTTCCAGGCGTAAAGTTAGTCTGGTGGCGGAGAACGCGCCATAAAGTATTAACAGGATACATATTCATATAGAGCGTGTCACTGGTAGCATGCTCACTCCCCATTAAATTAAGTTCAATACTTGTTCCCGCCTAAGACAAAAGGTTTCTCCTCACAATACACTGAAAAGAAACTAAACCCGACTTAAATCACCACAGTAAGCAATGAAAAAAAACGAGGGAATCATTCTAACCTGCCGGACAAGAATGGAAGAATTTGGGTGGATCGGCAAGTTATTCTTAAGTTGGGTTGCTTCTCGCATAAGAGCCCGTACTTTGCCAGATCTGCCAAAAGAAGACGTCAAAAAAAAAAAAATAAGCTAAATGTCTCATACACGATTAGGAAAATATTTCCAATATCTACCTGGAACATATGGGCTGATTAGCACACGACCGGAAGGCATGGCATTCCTGAAACGAAAAGAAAACCGCTTTCATAAGAATTGCTCCATAAAAAGAATCGACAACAAAAAAGAAAAAATAAATACAAAACACAACAATCGGTGTCTATTTTTAAGCTGATAGATGGTAGGAAAGGCAGTGACCTCGTGGTTAGCGCGACGAATTCCGAACCAAGACGTCAGGATTCGAACCCTCTCCAGGTCTTCGCGTTGTGAGTGGTTATAAATAATGTGGCGAACACAGTAGTCTAACGTAAGTGAACGAACCGATGGACTATGAGAGACAACATTTAAGTACACATGACTTGGCCCAGTAGCGTATCAAAACGTGAAAACCTACAAAGGCGCTTTTCCTGAAGTGATTCCCCGCATGATATTTCCGAACTCGGGTTCCCTGGTCTCTCGGTGATGCTGATACATAGTCCTCTGTTTTTCTTTAAAGTTTTCGTTGAGAGCAAATAGACCCAAAATGAGGTGTCCACGTGAGGAAATTTTCGGTCACAAGATTTTTTTAAACTTCTAGATCCTTCTTAGGACTACGAGAACGGGAGTGATCTAAAATTTATCATGACCACTTAAAAAATCAATCTATCCAAAAAGTTTTAGTATCTTCGCATGATGCACTCTTTCCTGGTCTACCTAACTCAGGCATTATTGTGTACTGCACTTACCACCAGTTCGGTTGAGTCAAATTTGATTGATTCAAGTATTTCAATATAGGCTTGATCAGTCTGTTCTGTGTCTCGTGGATCCGGTGCATAAGCTCCCTCCACACCCCTCTCGAGTGGTTCTTCTAACTCAGTATCGTCTGAGATTAATTCGTTCTCACCCGAAGAGAAGTTTTCGTCATCTCGTGCCAGCAATGAGCTCACCTGTGAAACACAATTTCGACGTACAACTTGAAATCTTACTGCATAAAAGTCTGGGGATAAGCCACTAATCTTTTGTACTTTTAAGAGCTAATACCTAATAGGACGTAAAGCAGTAGTCCCGCATCCATGAATATTAAGATTTTGTTTGGGTTTTGAACTTTCAACTCGTGGACGAAAGCCTTGGTTGACCACTTTAATTCAAACCAAAACTGCCGCGTACAAGAAATTCCAGGTGTTGTAGTTTATGTCCTACTTCTGGGTACGAATTATTGTCACAAATTCAAGTTTCCTCTCCGAAAGACAAGTACGTAACTCTGTTTCTCGTTCACTGTGTTCATTCAAATGGGAGTAGTCCTGGGAGCCGTTTCTCGAAGGTTCCAATAACGGCCCCGTAATACTGTTCTGTTTTAATTCAAGATGGAGGGATTACAGGTTTTTACTATTATACATTAAAACTATCAGCTCGAGTTACAACATGGACTGGTTTGGGTGCCAGAAATTGCTTCTCTACTCTTTCAATATTGAATTTAACCCCTTTACCTCCCATGAGTGACCAAGACAGAATTTCTCCTTACAACATCAATACAATGTCAAGCAGACAAGTAATGAGAATAAGGAACAAAGAAAATCGAGGGATTATCAGTTGATCCAATACCAAATTCTCCAAACTAAAAAGATAAGAACTGTATGGCAGACAGTGAGGAGAATTGCTAATGAGATCTTGGGAGTGAGAGGGTTAAAGCACGCCTTCAGGCCCAGTAAGTTACCGAGACTACTGAGAAACGGAAAACGCAAACCGAGCAGAAGTCGTCATCAGTCAGGTGACCACTTGACTTTGATGATGACTTCCGCTAAGGTTTTCTTGACGTCAGTCACAACTAATGACAACAATCCTTTCCAGGCCTGCTCTAACCCGGACGATCAGATTGCACGGTCAACTGAACTCCTGGTTTCAAACCAGTTATTATACGAAATACTCTCCATAAAACTACCTAATTCTTTTTATGTAAACGACACAAATATTGCAACAACACTCACTTCTTGTATAATTCCTCTCAAGTCTTCCACCACGAAGTCTGAAGCGAGATTCTCGCGCTGAACAACACGTAAGGCTCGCTCCACGCTGAGCCTGCTGTAGTCTGGGTTAGCGGCAAGGCATTTCACAAACTCCCTCTCCTCACTGGCATTTGACATGCGCACTAACACTGTCAAAATCTTAACCAGTAGGTCACGAGGGTCGAACGAGTATCTGCATGTAACAACAAAAAATATCTCAATATTTAAAATTTTTATTAAATATCTTAATATTAAATAAGGTAATCTAATAGTGTTTGTTTCGCAAATAAAGCGGACGTTTGGCAAAGCCGAGAGTTAGGGGTATCTTAAGCCTTAAAAAGAAAAAAAAAAAAAAAAAGAACCAAAAGAACATAAACTCCTTATAATTTCGATACGCAATCCAGCAAACAAGTAATGAGTAGTGACAAACTCATTAGTTTCTTTGACACCAAACACTCCTAACCTATCTACTAGAAAGTGAATATGAGCCAGAAGAGCGAAATTAGATCTCAGGAGTTAAAAACCACCGTCCAAATAATGAGCTAATTTTATCATACAAAAATGAACACAATCTAATTTTCAAGCCAGATCGATCGAATCGCTTTTATAGAGACTTTTTCTTGATGATTTTAACGGCAACAAGTTACTCTAGCAGGATGGCTCTATCGTTGTAAGTTTAATCAATATCTCACCTTTCCATGTTCTGGACTTTCAAATCCACAGACTTGCGGCCGCATAATGAGTCCAAAAATCCGATTATCTGAAGGTCAGAAAAAAAAAGGAACATCTGCGGCTGAACTTAAATTCATCGATTTATCGAAACTTAATTCAAAACATGTATATATGAAAAAAAAAAAACAAACAAACAAACATCCGGCTCTTTTCTATGATATGCTGACCTAATCACCAACGTTGTATTTAAACTTTTCACTGACCGCCCGCTCAATCCTAACCTCTAAAAACAGGCCATAAAGATAAAGGGGGTAAGTTTCTAAAGAAACTGCGAAGCTGCGTCGGTGGAGGAGTATAACTAGATAACTTGGTTTTATCAAATGAGTTGATCTAAATTGGTCACCGTAAAGGGTTTCAAAAGCTAACATTTCTAGCGTTGTCCCTTCGTCAAAGCGAATAGAGGAATTGTGAGTTGTGTGTGATGTATACGAAGAAAAATGGTACTATGCTGTTGGTGGGAAAACTTGGTAAAGTGAAAAACACAAATAGGTAAGTTGAGAACACATACTGACCGCTGCCGCAGCCCTGGCTGACAATGGAGGACGGGAGAAGCAGCGAGCCACTTTCTCTTCCTCAGTGATCTTCTCCAGAAAAGCCAGCGTTGCATTCGCCTGAAAGATATAGCTTTGATGTTATTTTCTGTAACTCCGACGAATTCAACTTTTAAATTCAAACACCAGCATACCATTTGCATACAAGATTTGGAAACGTGTTCTTCTCCTTTCAAAAACTGTTCCTTCTCCTGTCGCTGATCTACACTTAGTTCTTTCCACTTTTCGTCTGTACAGAAAAAAAAACTGTGTTTCAAATTTGGATACAGACTAAGATTTCGCATTGCAGTTTAAGGAGAGGATGACACTTTTACAAAAATGTAAAGTGAGAAAGAGAAAATATAAACGATTTTTTTTTTCATCTTTAGATCATTTGATGGTATATGAATGAGCAAAGCTACAATCGCGACGGTTTAGGATAAAAGAGCTAAAACATGACGTAGGCTTACGTTTCCCACGATTAATCATCGATCAGAATACCAGTGACGTTGGCTGTCAATCATTTCTGACAAAAATGCTGAACTGGGTTTGTGACTAGTTTTACACTCAGGCATTTTCTGTCTGTCGGTTTGTCTTTTTGTCTGTCTGTCTGTCTGTCGGTCTGCCTGTCTGTTTGTCAGTACGTCTGTCTGTCTGTTTGGCTGTCTGTCAGTTTGTCTGACTGTCTGTCTGTTTGTCTGTCTAAAGGCTGATAGTTTCTAAAGAAACTGTTTGGGGCTGCGTCGGTGGGGGTAACGAAATAATTTGAATATATCAACAAAGTTGAAATGGTAAATTGGCCACCGTTACGATTATAAAAGCTGACGTTTCGAGCGAAGGGCTAACGCTCGAAACGTCAGCTTTTATAATCGTAACGGTGGCCAATTAACCATTTCAACTTTGTTGATATATTCAAATTATGTTTGTCTGTCTGTTTGTCAGTCTGTTTGCCAGTCTCTCTGTCAGTCTGTGTGTCTGACTGTCTGTCTGTTTGTCTGTCTGTTTGCCAGTCTCTGTTAGTCTGTTTGTCTGAATGTCTGATTGTCTGTCTGTTTGCCTGTCAGTCAGTCTGTCAGTCTGTTTGTCTGACTCTCTGTCTGTTTGCCTGTCAGTTTGTTTGTCTGACTGTCTGTCTGTTTGCCTGTCAGTCAGTCTGTCAGTCTGTTTGTCTGACTCTCTGTCTGTTTGCCTGTCAGTTTGTTTGTCTGACTGTCTGTCTGTTTGCCTGTCAGTTTGTTTGTCTGACTGTCTGTCTGTTTGCCTGTCAGTCAGTCTGTCAGTCTGTTTGTCTGACTCTCTGTCTGTTTGCCTGTCAGTTTGTTTGTCTGACTGTCTGTCTGTTTGTTTGGACATTGTGTTGTGTTCTTAGGCAAGACACTTTACTCTCACAGTGCCTCTCTCCACCCAGGTGTATAAATGGGTACCGGCAATTTAATGCTGGGGGTAACCCTGCGATGGACTGGCATCCCATCCAGGAGGGAGTAGAAATACTCCTAGTCGCTTCATGCTACAGAAACCGGAGTTAAGCACCGGCCTAATGGGCCACTAGGCTCGTAAACAGACTTTACCTTTACCTGAGCAAATAAAACCATTAAAATCTACCTACCGCACTGCTTAGCACACTGAAGTTTCCTAACATTTGTAAGTCGGAGCAAGCCATCTTTCAAAACGTAAAGAAGCGTGTCGAACACAGCACCTAAGAATGACTGAGGAGACAAAAGAACCATTAGACCTGACATACAACAACCATCTGGTCTAGTCTGGTCTTTTCTACCACAGTATAGAAGGAAAAAAAAAACTTGTAACTGACGAAGGACATCCACTGCTGACTGTCTTACCTGAAAACTTTCCTTTCCACATTCTTGTAAAATCGAAGGTAAAACGTCGGGTCTCTTCCAGAGCGTTTCTAATAACTTGACAATTTCATACCTAAATCAGAATGATGAAACAAACAGTTACATATTTATATAGGTGCGTCAAATTTCCCTCTGCATTAAGAAATTGTCCTAAAACAACTTGACGAGATTCAAAGGCTCGGATTTGATACAAGAGGTCTAAACCAGAGATAATGCCGATTTCCTTGCAACTATAAGCATCGCTACTTCCCCTGTATGAGACACCAGCCCATTGCAGGTGATATTTTCCCGGCAAGTACCGACAATCTCTCAAAAACAGAGTAAAAAAAAGGTGTGTGTTGTGCTAAATGTGTTTGCTTTGTTATTTTCTTTTAGCTTCGGCCCTTTAGCAAAGCTTTCATTCAAAACAAAAAAAACAACCAGGTCTACGAAAACTTAAAATGTTCAAAATCCTCAAACACCCTGCATAGGTTGAATAATGTTATGTCTTTCTCACAAAGGCTACAAAATTGGTATGCTGTGGCAATTAAAATCAAACCACAGAAAAAGTGCTGATCATACCTAGCTGCGAATTTGTCGAACTCTTCTTTATCCACGTCCAGTCCCTCCACGATATCCACCGAGGAGTAAGTGTGAATAAGAGCTGGACCGAGTTTTTCTCTCACCGCTGGGCACATAGCAACGCAGGCCATCAAGTCACCTTCAATACCGCTACAAATCGGAAATTATATTAGTGAGTACGGTCGTTACATATCACCAGCAAAACCTAATAAATAGTTTTTAAATCCTTCCTTACCTTCCCCATGTAGTTGTGTCCAACAGTTTGTTCTTCCTGAAAGGAACATAATATTTTGATGACTAATCGTTTGGTAAAGAAAAGTAACGATTGTTACTTTCAAAAGGCATTTTCACCTTTGTCCGACTGAAATTCTTCCTCAAACCTCACACAACTTGAACATACCAGTTAAACATTAAAGTGAACCAGAAATAGGATCAAATTAAAGTAGTTGGGGCATGGGAGCTTTATCAATTTCGTTAATTACGATACAAACTCTTATCATTAATGACTAGGAGTTCAAATTTAGAATCCCGGTTCACGGTAAAACTAGAACATTTATAAATTTCAGTGTTTTCCATTCTTTTATCTTGCTAATTCACTTTTCATAAATGCTATTTGACATTAAAGTGAGCAAAGAAAACCTGTTTTTTTCAATTAGTGGATCATAAGTCTTTAACAACAAATGCAGTCATTCTTAGAAGTTCATCTTGAGAACCTTGGCGAATGTCTGAGCTTTGCAGCCACTTCTATCTTAAACTGTTTTTGTTTTTTCTTTGTTTGTTTTTTTGTATGTCTGTTCGCCTTCTGTGTACCACTTTCTTTGCCATTTCTCTTGTTAGTTTGCTTTTGTTTCTTTAAATATCCTCTTTTGCGCAATAATTTTCCGCAACTAAATCGTACCCTTTAGATCTCTGGCATATTTCAGCAAATGACAACAACGCTGACACGGTTCTCGTGGCTGCCACTGGCCCGGGCATTATGTCTCTCCGCTCCATCAGGGCACAACAGCAGTCAACGAAAGTGCAAATCTAAATAAAAAAAAAAAAAAGAACAATATTAGAAAAATAAAGTTACATTCCCAGGCACGAAAACGTGGTCCATGAGACAGGGTCTCGCATAAAATTGACAGGGAGAAACATTGTGACATGAATAGTATGGCGGCAAATACTGACACACTATTAGTAAACTGTGATCTCGTATTTTCGTAACTCCTTTCACACGCGTTCTCGCACGACCGTGACTCTTCTACAAAAAGCAAATCTCCTCTAGCTTACGCATGTTCTCTTGCCCGCTATCTCCTCTTTGGTGCGCACGCGTCTTTCTTTTCCAAGCGCACGCCTTTAGTCTGTAATTTCCTCTTCAATCGTTCTTGTTTATCCCTTATTCAACACGTGCCCGTCTCTCCTCTCGCACACGATCATCTCTTCGTTATTGCAGGTGCATCCCAGGCTCTACTCGTGCAGTGTCGCGCACACTCATGTTTCTCGTCACAGATGGACAGCTCTTCTCTAGTATGCAAGTCTAAAAGTGCGTGTTTAAATGTGTTCCAAGCTGGTTGACTAGCCAAAGTATAGGATGTAAAACCAAATTACTACTCACGTCCAAACCCTTAAGGGCCCCAGGTTTATGTACGGCGACGAAACTGAACCAAGAGCACATGTCTTTGACGTAGAACTCAGGGATATTCACAAGTATCTCCCGCTGCCTGACTCTGATTTCGTTTTCAGACAAACCCTAAAGAAGCAAAATCAATAAGCTTCGTTAAGAATACGACACCTTCACCAACCTCCGCTACGGTCTATTTAGATAGATTCGACTTGCTTGTTGTTGTTGTTGTTGTTGCTTTCTTTTTCTTTTTTCTTCCTCAGTACAAATCTCACAGATTTGTACTGAGGATCATATCGCCCGGATCTCACAGATCCGGGCGATATGAACTTTATTTACCTGATACTCAGAAGCACAACTGTCAAGAAGATGAAGAAGCCAAGCGGCACTTGTGATGTAGAACTCTGAACACAGCCTCATGAAGTGGTTGTCTTCCAGACAAGTATTCCATTGAAGCACAAATAACTGTAAACAGGGCAAAACAAGTGAGTTAAAATCACTGAGTCCCCTGAGAGGATTCGTTTTGACTTAAATGTTTAAGTTGTTCTGACAAAAAAAGCGAAATCAGTTTTACGCTCTTTTCAAGCACTACTTAGACTGAATTGCATCAAGACTGATCGCAATTTTTTTAAGGAAATCGAAAGCTACTGTGATCTACAATGCTCTTTTACTATTTTGGAAATGCCGAAAATCCGTCCTTATCATGACAAGAGCTGTCTTCCGATGAAAGGCTGGGAAAAAAGACCTGCCTAGGGTCCTGTGCTGAATGTTATATCCCTTAATTCAACAGGGACACCAGGAAAATTGTTCTTTGCTCTTGAAAGATATTTGCTCGAGCTGGCCAGATGTACTTGCCTACACGATATACACTCACCACAAGCATTTTTTTCGTTTCCGCTTCAAAAGAGCTACCTTCCTTCATTTCAGATAACATTGAGTACTGTCTGAAATATTACGAATAAAGAAATACACAAACGTGAGAACGAAAAAAAATGTGTGTGCGTGTGTGTGTGTGCGTGCGTGCGTGCGTGCGTGCATGCATGCATGTATGTAAGTGTTACAATAGGTGTATACTTAATTGAACAATCCCCTGTGAGGCATTTCTGGGCCAATGAATAAACATAATAATTACAACGAGCAGGAGGCAGACCAGTTAGCTGTATGCAAAGCGCAGCCAACAGTGGCGGTCAAAAGGCCTTAGGTCAGTTATTGAAAACATATCCTTTATCCAAATATATTAGAAAAGACCACTCTTTGCCAATTCAGGCGAGCACATAGAACCTCCTCTCCCCTCCCTAAAAATGTTGGTGAAACTGAACAATCACCACTACTTAGTAAAGTTAAAAAAGCGTACAAAACTCACCACTGTCTGGGGGAGGAGGGGGGGATAATTCGATTTTAGTAATATCAGCAAGAGATACCTCTCGGCTCATCAATCATCGAAATACAACTTGTGGCCTGGTAACTTTTCTTAAGGTTCAGTTGTTGATAAAAGACAGGATTGCAACCAGACTAAAAATTGCATTTTTTCAAATGAACGAGTAATGGTTAAATCTAACCTCATGATTCTGTTGTAGTGTTGAATGGTAGTGGTGAGCCCGATGTGAAGGGCGCTATGCGTAATGTGAAACATCTCTGTTATCAGCTTGAACTGACCTAGAAAGATAAAATCACAAACAACGTCCAGTATCAAACAAGAGAAACAGTAATACAGTAACTGGTTTGACCTTGGGGGACACGTGATCGCATAGTATGACCAATCAGACATACGTGGCCCTCAGCAGGACTGTTACCCATAACAGTGACTGTCGTTTTGACAACTTAAGCGGAAGTAAGCATCGAGGTCACGCGAAGAGTTCTTCATCGATCACTTGACGGAAAACTGGCTCGCGAAAACTGATCGGTCAGTTTTTACAGAGGGACGGGAGACATGGTTACAAAGACAGACAGAAAAAAGAACGCGTGGTGGACCAGTTTTAGTAAGATTTGTCGTTTTTGGAATTGCAACACCTTTTGGAGCAGATGAATAATCGAAACTAAAAAACAAGGAGGACACGAAGAAATGAAATCCCTGATCCCAATGGAAGCATTGGTAAAAATTGTATGCACATTAAGAAAAAAAAAGTAATTACCCTTAAGATCTCCTGAAGGAAACAGCATACTGCGGAGATCGGTTTTGTCCTCATTTTCTGTTCCTGCAAGGAAACAACAACCAATGCTAACTGTAAGATGGTTAAGTGAGTACATTGAAAGATGAAAGTTCCCAAGCTGAACAAAAGATTAAATTTTCTATACAAATAACCTGCTGAACAGTGAGCGATTTAAGTTGATTCCTGGAATTAAAAGGTGACGAACGATGTTATTGAAACTTTCTTTGAATGTTCTCTACCATCTCTGTTCGTGAAACTACATTTGTACAATGGTTGGTCTGGAACATCGCGCAGAATGCCTGGACATCATTAATTATTCATGAGCACTGAAGCGGGAGATTTGAATGCAATTGCGCCTTGAAAAGCTCAGAATACGAGAAGAAAGGGCCGAAACTAGCGCAGTAGCGTTGATAAAAGTCTCTTTCCGAATTGACAGAAGCAATAACTAAGAAACCAAAGAGCAGGTTTTTGAAGAGAAAGGGTTTATCTTTAATTTAAGCTTTAAAATAGGAATAAAGGCTGATAAAATAGGAAGTTTGAGAAAGTAAAAGGACTATTCCAAAAAAAGTTTGTGCTGAACCTTTGCCAACTCTCTCGGCCACTCAGATGCAACACATAAACCACTGGCGACTTGGCCAGTCGCGTTTTGCCGCGCCTGAGGTGTACTTTCTTGATTTTTCATCGACCACTTGTGAAACGTCATGGCTGGTCGACGATCTTGCTTCGGTTTTTGTTGTACGACAATCGGTCACAAGGCACTCGAGTTCAAGATTACAAAAATTTACGTCTAAAAAGGAAATACTGCCGGACCCTGATTCAGATTTACGACACGAAGTAGCCTCAAAAAGGTGTCAAACCTTTACGACGCCTTTTTAACGAACTACATTCTCAAGCGCAAGTAGTCCGAACTCAGTAGTGGGTCGCTGAAACTGTTACTTACCAGTGTGTCCGCCAACCAGCGTCCGCTCATTCGTGAATCTTAAACGGCAAGCTTTGGAGGTGCAGTAAAGCGCTTCAATCTGTTTGTATTTTTCTTTCCCTTTTGTCAGGAGGAATGAATCACACATCTGAAGGGCCACTGAGCAAAGATTCACCATAAAACCTACCACCAAGGGAAACAGAGTTCTTATAGCTACTGCAACTTATTATGTTTCTTACCGTTACGCCACATTAAAACTACTAAGTTTTTCTTTGACAAGTTTTCCCCTTTGTGGATAGAGATAATTGAGAATTTTTCCCTTCACATAAATATGGAGACTCGTGGATGAAAAAATCGTTAAGGACAAGTTTGTAATAGCAAATGACATAAGGAGAAGTAATTTTCAAAAGGATTGTTAAGAGTCTATGAAAAATTAATCCTCAGCAAAAATTTTCCATAACAAGCACCGTTGACAGCATCTTTGCTTATACAAATAGCACATTACTTCTTCCTTGACAAGTGCATTGCCTAAGGAAAGCTCTCTCCTGAATTTGTTTGAACCTTGAAAAAAAAAACATCGTTCAAAAAACGCACGAATAAAGAATTGCACGGTTGTACGGGAGTACGGACGGAGGTATGCAATGGTGCAAGAATGATCGGGTGCCCCGGAATATCCATACGCACCAAATGACAAAAAAAAAAAAAAAGGCCTGTAAAACCTCTTTAAGACTATCACCCCTCACTCATGTCCCATAATATGTTTCCACTCATACCAGGCCTCTAAATATCACAGGATTGACTTGATAGCACAACATAAGGGAGGCATGCTGTGAAATACTCCGTAGTGACACTTTTTTCCGCTTGACTCTATCTTACCATCATTAGCCACTGTTGCTTTCATCGAGTTATCTCTGGGCAAATTTGCTGACAGTCTCAGATCATTGAGTGACACAACACCCGCCAGCCAAGCTATTGCCCTGAAAGAAAAAAAAAAAAAAGACATCCTTAAACTTTCTCCAATACTCACCAGAACAGACAAGGCGCCGTATTCATTTAAATCTAAAGATGGAAAATCCTAACCGAACCGTTTCAAAACAGACTGAAACATGATGATATTTTTTCGCTCGTCTTTGTTCTCAAGGCCTGTATAGGGAGAAGAGCCATTCGATTCTTGCGTACCTACACGGACAACAATCGAAATGTGCGGGAGTTTTTAGTTGTACATATTACAGACCATAGTTCAAAAAACGTCCCAACCCTTTCGGCATTGACGAAATGCTGGAGAAAACAAACCGCACCCGGTTACACACAAGGAATAAGACTTTCATTTCCACCCACACCAATTACTTTCAGTAAGGCCAAACGTTGCAAGTGGAAAGCGCCCTTAGAAAGTGCCAGTATGTATATTCTCATAACTGTTCTCTATTCACTTCCTTAAGGTGCCGACATGGAGAATTCGTTTAACAATCAAGAGCTTTTTAAGATAGGGATCATTTTTTTTATGCTCGTGACCTTAATGTGTGATTCAGGGGTGATATTGTAAGGAGAAATCAGATACTACTCACTGACTCTGGGGTTAAAGAGTCAATAAAAAATACCTGTCTTTATTATCAGTTTTCAACAACTTCACAAGAGCCTTGTAAACAACGTTCTGGCATGAATGAATGCCATCCATGATTTGAGACTAAAAGTGAAAGAAAAAACTCCTTAGTTAATGAACGAAGTTACAACGGGGAAAATGAAGTAGCTGATTCTTTGATGTTAGAACATTGCAGTGTGCCTTCATTCAACTGTTTTCTCACCCACAATATGAGATGCATAAAGAAAAATTTATCTCTAACAGGGTTGTAAATTATTTCAAGGTCTTATCTGATAAACGAACGCGTCCACCAAACATTACGTGGATTCACTTCTCTTCTACCAACGGTATGTTGACTAAATAATTTGTTGGATATAAAGAAAATAACACAAAGTGCACTTAAAAAAATTCTTTTCAAACCTAATAATCTCTGTTAAGAAACTTCTGTTAACTTTGAGGCTACAGCTTGCAGTAATCAAAGGGGAAAATTCTACATATCGGTCTATATCACATCTTTAGAAAATTTCACATTACGTACTTGAAGTTGATCAACATCGCTACGGAAGGCCTGCGGAAAGTGAGGCAGCTCAACAAAACAAATAGAAGAACGCGATTTCTTGTCTATTTTAATATCCATTGTAGACGTTGCCAAGAAGGAAGAGAACAGTGATTTGTGTTGAAAGAAGACACCCTGGGTAAAAGCAGACATTCATTCAACAGTTAATATCAAGAACACAAATAAGGGAGTGTAGACAACCTTCGTAAACAACAAAATTGTTACCAGTTCGTTTATTCCAGTGTCCAGTTCTTGCTCGAGGGCTTCAGCCAGAAAGTCACCCATAACAGGCTAAAAGCCAAACAACATAATGCAAAAGAAAGCAAATTAGTCAACGTTATAGGGCAGTTTTCAGGTAAGTTTCGAAAAACCAAAACCAAATTAATCTCAACAGCCAATCGGAGTGAAGGTTGACTTCACCATCAGCCAATGAAAATTCGAAGTAAAACAGGTATAAAGTATGAAACGCGGGAAAAACGCCAGTGTATAAATCCGGATTGGTTTGTTTTGAATCTGATTTGCTAACAAGATGGTGCGAGTTTTCTGGACCAATCACAGAGCGAAGTTAAGCAAAACTAAACTAATCGTAGATTACTTTTGACAGTTGATAGCAGCTCTAACTATGCGCCTGTTTGAAAATTTATGCCTTACCAAAGAAAGCAGGGTTTCCAATCCTCTGAAAATACATTTGCACTCCAATGTGAGCTCATTCATCCTATAAAATGAAAAAACAGAAGTTTGATTAGATTCTTCATAATTCAAATGCTAACTGTGTTTGCTAAAATGTCCTTATAAAATTTGGAGCTTTTTTTTTAACCTCAACTTTGTTTCTTGTTGCCAAATCAAAGCAATAATTGTCCAGCATACCTCTTCACTCTTTCGACTTGCCTTCCTCCGACTGTTATCTATGGATAAAACGCAGGGTTGTTAATATTTGAACTGATATAAAGCAAAGTGAAATTTTTACCACAATTGGCAGTAATGTAGTAATCTGATTGTCCAATTTGCCGTGGTCGATAAGAGTACAGACAACACTGCTCGCGTCAACGTGTCACGCAGTGGTCACGCAAAGAAAGAATCGTTTTGTTTGATGTCGATATCGTGGTATTGCGATATTGTTTTGTGGACTCACTCGGCTGCGCTTCATGAATCCACAACATTTTGACCACTGTGACGACTAATATCGTTGTCAATAAGAGTAAAGAGCACGCTAAAAAACTGTCCATTTGTAAAATTGACTAAGCTGTAGAGATGAGTTCCACGTAACTGTCTTATTCCCAGAGAGGGGGAAACAATAATTCTTTACGAAAATCAGGGCTTGTATTACTTCCAACCTATAGAGTTCCTTGACTTTCCAAAACCTTTCCAAAGACCATTTATATTAAGTTTTCTATGACCTTCAATTAAGTCTTCTGTTTCAAAATAGCCGGAAAACGATCATTCTTCCTCTTTTCTTCCATGACTTTTCAAGGTCAACACTCAATTTCCAAGACTTTAAAGGCCTGGAGCATGACAATAAAAATAAAATTTCATGACTTTCAAAGTTTTCATGACTCAACAAACCCCAACGATGCAAAGCAAAAGTGGGAGGAAAATTGCTAGATGGTAAGGGTGGTATCAACCAAGGAAATTTGAAGTGTACTTTTGTTTAAAGGGAAGGTAAGTTTGGTGCCCAGTCTACCCTGGTTTTTCAGACAGAGCGAGGGCATACAACGTGAGCTAGATTTATTGACTTGACAAGGGAAAATGTGCATTTTACTTTACCCAAAATGTGTTAAGATTAACTTACCATTTCAACAAACGTCTCTTTTACTTCTGGATCCTCTTTACCTTTCTCCAGCAACCTGTTTAGAAGTTCTACAGAAACTGTCACACCATCACTTGACCAGCCTCCAAGACTGGACAGGAAATACTGGGATGGACCCTTGTAAAAAGAAAATGATATCTTTAAGGATGAAAACTAAGACTGTGTTGCAAAGAAAATTTTCACCAACACAGCACTCTTGTACTCCACGAGCCTGCACAAGACGAAAGCGCTGTGGCTCTGAAGGCATGATGAGTGTAACCATCCAAACCAATGCATCCAAGAAGAAACATAACGAAATATTTTGTACAGTATAAACAGAATGTACCTCTGACTGGCCTGACTGAACAAAATCTGCCCACAAGTCATCTTCCACTGCTGTAGGACTTGCAGCAACTACAATTTAAAAAAAAAAAAAAACGTTTGTAACTAACATCAGACATAAGTATGATGGTAAAATTTTGTGCTTGTTCCTGGAATAAAGAAAGACGTTTTTTCACCTTGTAACAACCATGGGATAAAGAAAAAATCCAAGTCACCCATGTGCAATGCAACCATAGCTCAGATTCTGCCAAAATTTAAACCATCATCTTGGATAAATTGAATAGGAAGCAAACAAGTTTGAGAGGGAGAAATGTTTGAAAACGACTCAGTGTGGCCAAGTGGTTAGAGGACTGGACTTGTAATCTGGTGTCCCAGGTTCAAATCGACCCTGCCACTCACTGGATTTGTTCTCAGTTGCCCCTTTTTTCAACTCCTTGGCCCCACTCTGTAAATAGCCCACTGGTCTGCCTCCTGCCAGTGCGGATTTTTAAGCACTTAGTTAGTTTACATTGTGGCTGAGAAGCCCCTAAGGGGGAGCTTCAATTTATGTATTCATTTATTATTATTATTAATTGAGAGTACATTCCAACTCACCATGGATAAGATGCTTCAGAACCGTATTTACACAGGGCCCCATAACAGCTGATGCCACTTCCTTCCAAATCTTTTCTCCATTGCAAATCAATTTGAAGTTCTTTCCAGGAGGCTGAGAGCAGCGATCAAAGCATTGAATAGCAAACTTCATTGGATCCTATAGAACAAAATCAGCACATTCTGAATTGTGTGCCTTTATCCTCTACTGATATTTCACCTAATTTCTTGAGGTGTTGTCTAAATATCTTTATCTACCATTCCTATCTTTTCATTTCCTTTCCTTTCATCACTTTTCTCTTAACTGAGAGTAAACCAAGGAAACTGGTGCAAAAATAACTTGGTTTCTGTAGTAAATTACTGCTATAACTAATCTTGTACACATTGAAAAATAAAATAGTTACAAAAGTATATTTGTATTTACATGTAGAAACTTACCATTTCCCGATAGATCCTTTTAGCAAGAAGTTTTTCTATTTTCTAAACAAAAAAAAAACATGTACAACTACATGTAAGAAGACAAGTACCATAATTTTTATACTTGTAAAAATATTTTTGTACAATTTTAAAACCACAATTATACTTGTTGTGACAAGTAACTTTTATTGAGAAAAACAAATTAATTTCACCAGATCTCTTGCCTTTCATTGTTGTTTACCTTGCATAAGTCATCACAACTGACGGGTAGTTCAGATGCTTCAACTTGCAAAACTGCCGCACCTCTGTCTGCATTAGGCTGAGGAATGAAAAGAATATTTAAAATGGAAAGGCAACCAGTCCTATGATTGTCAACCTCTAGTTATTATGATCATAAATTATAGCCTCTAGTTATTATGATCATAAATTATAGCCTCTAGTTATTATGATCATAAATTATAGCCTCTAGTTATTATGATCATAAATTATAGGGTAATTTATGTCAACAATGAGTCGATACTGTCCTGGATGACATGGACTATTGTATTTGTCTTAGACTAGTGAATACACACAAAGACTAATAATTCTAAGAATAGCTTTGAATAAATGGTAGGGATAGCTAATTTTGGTGATAGGTTTTTTTATGGTAAAATTTCACTTAGTGCTCATGATGACTTCAGCTCAAGATTTCAAGACATCAGTCCTTTAATTTGAAGCTTTGACGCTCCCCCCCCCACACCAAACTCGGCAAACCTTCAGGCATTTAAACCTAAGAAGATTGGCTTGTACTTGCATTCAAATTCTCCACCCAATATTGAACGATTCTTTACAAGTGTGATAAACAAATGTTGTAGAATTTAAAAAAGTCAAATATCAGTTTTTGATGCTGCTGTTGGTTTTTTTTTTTTTTTGCTTGTAGACATCATTCTATAACATGAAAATTGTCTTTCTAAGCCATTTGCCCATGAAAGCATACTCTTTACCTTTAAAAGACCTGTATTATGCTGAAAAGACCTGAAATTTCTAGTTCAATTGCCCCACTCCACCCCACCTAGGCAAGGTTCAAATTCTACATCCCCTCGCACATATCAGGGTCAAATGCCCATGTGTTGCTTTGGTGGAGTGGGGACGTTGAAGCTTTGAAATGATCAGCCCATAATACTCAGGCTAATCAACAGGGTGATCAGCCTACAATTCAAGAACTCATTTTGCATTTTAAAATTTCAACAAGTAGAAAATTTTTGGCTATTCTGACTCTATGGCAAGAATTGCAATGGAGAGATTTTGCAACGGCACAATCCCTTCAAATTCTAATTAACATTAAGTACCTAGGACTCCTCTTGGGACTTTTAAAGTTTACCTTGACTCGTCGAGTATGTGCATCCTTCTTGGAAGTTTGATTTTCCTATAAGTATAGGTAATAGGCTAAGCATAATAAACACCAACAATAATATTCTTGTCCCTGGGCAATAGATATGTACATCTGTGATCTTGGTCATAAGTCCCTCTCAACTAAATTTACATTAATTTTATAAAACTGTACATTGTAATTCATAAAAATCTATACTAAAATTCATCTTTTTTTTGACAATCTTTGCATGATGGCTAATCCACTTACAATAGAACATTCCAGAACTTGCATTAACACCATCTTTGCAACATCCTGGTATGGCAGATCCTAGCAACAACAAAATGACAGTATGAACACATCCAAGTACAAGTACATGTGCCAAGTCTCAAATTTTGTTTTCCTCATTTCTCACGACACTGTCAATATCCTATTTCAATTTCATTCACCATTACTTTGTTCAAATAATATTTTCTTGCAAATAAGAAGTCTCACTACAGAAACTTGGATAAACTCAATTAATGTGCACTCTCCTGATCTCTTTTGCCCAAAGGGAGAACATTTCTTCAAACAGTTTGCCTTGTTCATGTCCATGGCACATTATTCCTCAAAAGTTTGGTTGAAGCAAATCAATAAGATGGTCACCAATTCACAAAAATGTGACAGAAATTTCCTTCAGAAGTAAAATTTTCCAGGAGAAGCCTACAAACACTGGACATTTTTAAAACTTGTATTTTGTAACTATTGCATAATACATCTTATTGTACATTGTATGAAAATATTAGGTGTAGTTGTGGGGCTCTATTGTGATTTTGATTGACATGTGCTTCTGTGGTCCTTAATGCATAGGGTACTAAATACATTATATAACTGGCAAAGTTATTAGTTATACCAAAAAAAATCTGGTTCAATGATTGGCTCACACATTAGCTAGTACAGAATGATGCAAAGAGAGGAACTGAGCATCATAATAAAAGCTTTCAAAAAATGTCTGTTCAAATATTATGGTCTCACCTGTATCTTTTCTTGCTTGGATGCTAAAAAAACAATTTTTATAATTTCAAGTCTAGCACATTTAAATCATCCTTTATCAAATATTATCAAATATAGTATTGGTCTTAAACAATATCAATTTTACTGATGTTTTAAATGATTCACAAAATAAATTAGAGGTGAAAGGTGTATTTCTTTCAATCAATAACAGCATCGTGAAATATTCTGAAGAGAATTGCATATTAATTAAATATAAACTTGCATTTTGATTGGTTAATGAAGCAAGGTACTTAGTGTGAAATTGCAAGTTGAAAACAAAGCTAAGTGATATTGGTTTGCAACTCTTGTTTTGCTCTCAGGATAAAAACTAACAATGTCATTGCTGTTTTCTTTTTTCTTATTTTTATTCAACTAGTAATACACACTTCAAGGGAAATCCATTACCCGAATTTTGGGTTGCAATTTAACCCGAAAACTGATATTGCATATTAATATCAATTTTTGCTCGCAATTTAACATGATTTCCCTCATCAGCTGATGAGTTTTCTATATAATTATCATAGTCATATTCCCAACTAGCAATCATAAGAAGTTAAAGCTCTAGTACTGGTATTTCCTGCCAGAAATTTATATCGCACATCATGAATTGATCATACCTGTTGGTCTCTTGGACAATGGTGTTGAAATTTCTTTCTTGACTTCTGCTTTGTCTTTTACTTCAAACCTATCAGCTGCAGTTCCTTGATTACCGGGAGCAATCAAAACTGGAGTACACTCCGGTGTTGAAGCTGTGACTACCAAAGGCTCCACTTCAATAGAGGAAAGTGACCTCCCTGTTTCATTGAGTGAGGAGGGCTCGGATCTCACACTGTTTGAATTTAAAAGTTTTGACCCATCTCTTGGTTTATTGGTTCCAGGGAATCTCCTCTCACAGGTGTTAGTGGTGGTAACCTCACTTTTGTCAACTCTTTTTCGAAGGTCCTTCCTGTTTGAATCTATTGAAGGTTGTCTATTTAAAGTAGCAGTTTCTTTCACACAAGTTAGGGGTGAGTTTCCTGTCTTGGCATTAGACTGTTCACCAGCTAGCTTCCGCAAACGTGCTGCTCGGAGATCAGCGACATGAACTCCTATCAAATTGAGAAGGAAACAAAGTCCTAATTGCCAAGTATTTTAGTACATAAATGTAACTTAATCAAATAGAATCACAATTGTGAAAAATAAAAAGTTATGATGCTAGTTGAATTTTAACATAACCAAAAAAGGAACTTATAATACATAATATTTAATAATAATTATGATCAAAACTAATTAGAAGTCACACCGCATAATTTTCCGATTAGGCACCAGCAAACTTTTCATAGCTCATTACATAATTAGTAATAACTTGTATGTATTACCAATTCTATTGGTAACATCTAAAAACTTTTAACAATCTAACTTTCACATATATATATATATTTTTTCCAACCACAAAGTGTACAGTTATTTCAGGACCAAAAAGTTGAAGGTGAAAAATCATTTTAAATGGATACAACTGAGCCTTGACAGTAATTTGACATCCAAGTCTTTTAGAATCATAATAAAACTTGAAACAAATAAGACAACAAATGAGTAAAACAAAAATTTTGCCCACAATTCACACCTGTCTGGCTAGCTGTTGGGTTCCTCCTCTGTACTAGTGCAGCACAGACTACAATCACACAAACAACTCCTACTAGACCCCCAACAATCTGTTTCACACTCCATTCAGAGCCACTGCTGGTAGGTGATGTCTGTGCTGTTTTTGGAGATTTCTGCTTTGAGCCTGTCTTCCCAGCTGAACCTTTCTGTAGCTTTTCATTAGAACCTCCCCTATCATTTTCAGGTTTTAAGGATACCTGATGATAACAATTAAAGACACTGATCAAACTTTAGATCGACTATGATTTTTATAGAGCTTTAAACTGTCTATTGAACAATTGACAGTGGTTCAGTATGGTCTGTACTCTTGTTGACGATAATATTCCTTGTCACAGTGGTCAAAATGTTGTGGACTTCACATTTTTTGCACTTCTCATCATCATAATTTAAGGAGAAATTTGTTATTTGACCCTTTCGGGAGTCAAAAGATTCAACAAAAACAGATATTAATACCAACCAAAGTATCCTCAAAGTATTTTGACAATTCCTGGGCTGACAGTTCTCCATCACCATTTTTATCATATTCTAATAGAATTTGTTGAAATTCCTGTTTAAAAATAAAAAAATAAAAAAACAATGTAAATGAAAATAACATCAAAAAATGGAAATATAATATCTTAAAAATCTTGGATCAATATCAGTTTGGATCAATGTCAGTTTCTAAGCAAGTGCACACCTACCCCACTTCTAATCCAAAATTAACCCTGACCTGTTATCAGTTGAATGTTTTTGGGCTAGGGGAGGGGTAGGTGCACAGTTGCTCAATGTCTATATGTGAGCAACTGTGGACGTACCCCTCCCCTGACCCAAATTAACCCAAACCTGTTATTAGTTGACTGTCATTGGATTAGGGGAGGGGTAGGTGCACAGTTGCTCAATGTCAGTATGTGAGCAACTGCACACCCACCCCTCCCCTTATCCAACATTAACCCTAACTTGTTATCAGTTGACTGTTGTTGGGCTAGGGGAAGGGTCAGTGTGCAGTGGCTCAGACACTGCCATTGATCCAAATTCTCAACATGCATTATTTAGTCCTTTAACCTCTAGGAGTGACCAACATCTAATCTCTCCTTACAATATCACCCCCGAATCACACATTAGGGTAATGAGAATAAAGGAAATGATCCCCAACTGAAAAACCTCTTGATTGTGAAACAAATTCTCCTTATCAGCACCTTAGGAAATGTGTAAAGATCAGTATGGAGAATATGTATACTGATGTTAGGGTGCAGTAGGTTGAAGAGAATTTTTCTTACCAAGTTACTCAAATCATGGTTACCATCCTCATGATCAAGAATATGTTGCTGTAAAGGATCTTTGAACTGTTCACTACAAAGAAATCAATTCCAATAAGCAATTTATCATCACTGGGTATTAGAAACAAAAATCATTCACTTCTTTATACCAGCTTCACTGGCCAGGGATAATAATTTACTATCAATATATTTGTGAAAAGGATAAAACTGACACCAAAGTCAGTATGATGATGGGAAAACCCCATTACCCCAACCATCATCTTTTTTTCTCTAAAACAAGCATATTAAACTTAAGACCACACAAATCTGATGGTAGCCACTTAATAACTGGCCCCAAGGGAAATACTGAGTTTTGTTTCCCAGACACCCTCACTGTTCCTCTAGGCTTTGCCTCGTAAAACAGGTCATCCTCGGTGTAAAAACCTGACAAGGTTTTCTTTGTTTCATGAGGTATTGTTTTGCTGTACGCTATTGCTATGTCGGGCATGCCGGCCCGCGGTATCTGTCACATATGCGCACGCATGCCACGTGCGCACCTTGTAGATTTGACAATCGCCATGTTGAAAATAGAGATGTTGAGTTTGTATTGAGTTGTAGTAATTCGTCTGACTTAAATCCGTGAAACACAACAGATTGGCGACGAGATTTTCAGAACTCACAAAAGAGACGTTCAGGCCTAGGACAATATGCCGATTGGAAAGATAGAAGCCTTCGATGAAACTAACGACGACTGGCTTGCCTACGTTGAACGAGTAGAGCAATACTTTCTCGCCAACGACATTAAGGAAGACAAACAAGTAGCAGTGATGCTCAGCCTAATGGGAAACAAAACGTATGGGCTATTACGAAACCTCTCTGCCCCAGAGAAACCATCCAGCCTGTCTTTCAAAACCATCGTGGAAACTCTACAGAAACATCTTTCTCCGAAACCACTGCTCATCGCAGAGCGATTTCGCTTTCACAAGAGAAACCAACTGGAAGGTGAAACCGTAAGTACTTACATTGCTGAATTAAAGAAGTTGACACTGTATTGTGAATTTGGAGCGAGCTTAAATGATGCATTAAGGGATAGACTAGTGTGTGGACTACACAATGAACTTATCCAGAAACGATTACTCTCCGAATCAGAGTTGACCTTAGCAAAGGCGACGGAAATTGCATTTGCCATGGAAGCTGCGGCAAAAGATACCTTAGAGTTACAGGGTAGTAAAGAATCCGACGTTAACAAAATAAACACTGAAAACGCACGAGTATATAATGTGAAGCCGAAGCCCCGTGATAATTGTTATCGATGCGGTGGCACCACACATGAATCATCTGAGTGTTACTTCAAGAAGGAAACATGCCGGAAATGTGGAAAACTGGGCCACATCCAACGAGTTTGCCGCTCTGGAAGAAATCAGAACACTACCCAACGAAGAAAAGTTGATAAACCCAATCTGCATTCTTTTGAGATGAGTGATGAATGTGATGACGACAGTTTTGTGGCATCACTAGAAGTAAACAATGTCAACCAAGTAACAGCTGGTGAGGTCATCTGGGTTACACCAAAGATCAACGGACACACCCTGAAAATGGAACTCGATACGGGCTCAGCAATATCCACACTTCCATTGCAGAAATACAAGGAAATATTCGCAGACACACCACTGGTGGACACCAAAGCCATTTTGAAAACCTACTCAGGAGAGAAGATGAAACCAGAAGGAAAACTCCTTGTACGTGTGGAACACAACAATCAGGTTAAGAACTTAACATTGTACGTGGTAGAGACACAAGGCCCAGCCTTGTTTGGAAGAGATTGGCTACACGAGATACAACTCGACTGGAAACAGATCTGCGCCATTTCAAAAGAGAAGACACCACAAGAAACCCAAAAGAAATTAGAGAAACTCCTGGACGAGTACAGTGA